TTTTTTTTTTTTTTTTTTTTTTTTTTTTTTTTTTTTTTTTTTTTTTGAGATAGTCTAGCTCTGTTGCCTAGGATGGAGTACAGTGGCATGATCTTGGCTCACTGAAAACTCTGCTTCCCAGGTTCAGGTGATTGTCCTGCTTCAGCCTCCCCAGTAGCTGGGATTATAGGCTCCTGCCACCATGCCCAGCTAATTTTTGTGTTTAGTAGAGACTGGGTTTCACTGTGCTGCTCAGGCTGATCTTGAACTCCTGACCTTGTGATCTACCCCAAGACTTCCCAAAGTGCTGGGATTATAAGCAAGAGCCACCATGCCTGGCAGTGACCCTGTCTTTTAAAATAAATGGTGAAAATGGTCAGTTTTGTATTGTTAATATATATAAAATTATACTGCAATTAGTAAGAAACCACCACCATGCTGTGTTGCCTTCTTGGCTGGAAGAGTAGTCAAGCTCCTTTTCTTCCCCTAGGCTTTTTTTCCCTCATTGGTCAGGAGCCCCCCTCCCCTCCTCTCTGTTGGGTGGGGTGCCAATAACTTTATTGGAGGCTTCTGATTGGCTGGATCGCTGTTCTGAATGCCCCCCACCTCCCCTTCTCCCCTCCTGGGCTGGGAGAGTGGGTTGAAGCGGAGCCCTCCTCTTTGCGGAAAAGATTCCTTTTAGGACTAGCTGAGCTGCTCTGGAGCCTGAGGCTGGTGACCCCAGGGCTGGCCGAGGGGTGATGCTGGCCCCCATGGGGCTCCTCGGTCTGGTCCTGTTCTGGCCGCTGGTGGCAGTGACTGCGGAGAGTAAGTAAAACTGATGCGTGTTCCTGGTTCTGTCTAGAGTGAAGCGAAGGGCAGCCCAGATGTACCTGGGGGGGTGCTTTTGTAGCCGGATGCCTTCTGACCTGCCTTTTCACTGCCACCTTTTGTTTTGCTTTTCATGGGGCAGAAGAGCGAGAGATGACAGGTGAATCGTCATCTCTCTCACTTCCGCCACCAGCATCCTCTGGAAACTCAGACAAGGAAGGGGGATTGGGAAGCTGCGGAGACCAGATCTGAAGCCCGGAGTGAGAAAACGCTGCCTTCCAGGCTCACTGAGCTTTAGCCCAGGGGGTGTCGAGGCTGCAGTGAGCCCAGATCAGGCCACTGCACTCCAGCCTGGGCGACAGAGTGAGATCTTGTCTCAACAAACAAAAAGCATCGTATCTTTATTTTCCTAGAACTAAAACTTAAAAAAAAAAAAAAAAAAAAAAAAAGTGAAATTAATAACATATTTTATGTAACCTAATATATCCTATATATAATTAGAAAAAATAGAAAGTATTAATGATATATTTCCTATTCTTCAACATTCCATGTGTATTTTATACTTAGAGCATATTTCAATTTGAATGCTAAATTTTCATTGCAAATACTTGATCTCTTTAGATGTCTTAAAATACAGAGTTGAGAAAGTATGTTTAGTTACTGCACTAAGTTATTTCAAACATATTGGAAAGTTTTCTTTTTTAAAAAAATATTTTTCATAGAGACGGGATTCACCACGTTGCCCCAGCTGGTCTCAAACTCCCAGGCTTAGGCAATCCTCCCAAAGTGCTGGGATTACTGGTGTGAACCAGTGCACATGGCTAACAGTCTATTAATAATTGAATTGAGTATTGGTTTTTCATTTAAATAAACGAAAAGTTTCTCTGTAACTAGTAACGTTTCGGATGCTTAATAGCCACACGCTGGACAGCGCGGACCAGATTGTGGGGTCTTTTATTAGTTGGAAATGATTGTTTTGATAGTTGGGCTTTTATTTCAGCACGTAACACTCCCTGGCATACCATAGGTGCTCAGTAAATTGTGTTGGCTTCATAAAATAATGCACATGGATCAGAACTGACAGCTGAGAAAGGTGAAAAGGGACTGGATTGCATTTGCTGGCTTGAGGTGACATTGATTTCAGTCCATTTCAGGTCTCTTTCAAGAAGTTAATCGGATCTGACTGAAGAATTTATTATTGCCAGTGTGCAATGTTGTCCCATCCTTGGTTAATCTATTATGAATCTATCATTGCATTCCGTGTTTCTGAAATTTTAAATATTTTACATGTGTTTTTTAAGTGCTCAGGAAACGGAAGGGGTGGGGTACAGGGTTAATTCAAGCACAGGTCTCTCGCAGCTCTGCTCACCTCTGCAGGTCTTGGTGGGTGAAGGCTGGCGGGCCAGGCTGCTTTGTAGCCTAGCATAGCAGGAAAGCACATGCAGGGATTGTCTGCTGAGCAAACAAGCAGAATGCTGGGCTTGTGCACACCCAAGAATGTCATGATTATGCACACATAGGTTTAACTTGCTGCCCAGTGTCTGAGTGATTCAAGAGTTGAAGGAAAGTTGGAAGGGAAATTGATTGGGTTGAATGTCTTTGACATGTGATTTTATCTGTTGATACTCTACTTGAATGCAAAGAGGGATTTGTTAGATGTGTCAGACTATTTAGGGGGAAAAAACCCTGCCCAGTCTCCTACCACGTTCTGTTGTTTCGAAGTGTCTAAACAAAATAGTCTACAATGTACCGTAGCTCCCACCCCTCCCCATTTTGGGGAAATGATTTGTTTTTCTTTTTTTTTTCTTTTTTTTCTTCAGACAGGGTCTTACTCTGCTGCCCGGGCCGGAGTACAGTGGTGTGATCTCGGTTCACTGCAACCTCTGTCTCTTGGCTCAAGCAATTCTCCCACCTCAGTCTCCTGAGTAGCTGGGACCAAGATGTGTGCCACCATGCCTGGCTAATTTATTTTTTATTTTTTATTTTATTTTTGTAGAGGGGGTTTTGCCATGCTGGCCAGGCTGGTCTCGAACTCCTGAGCTCCAGCCATCTGCCCACCTCAGTCTCCCAAAGTGCTGGGATTACAGGCATGAGCCACTGCGCCCAGAAACAATTTGTTTTTCGAGGGATTAAACAGGTCAGCCTATGTACAATGACCAGTCGAGGTACCCTGGGGTAGCTTTGAGGATGGAAGTGGTATTATTGAAACGCCGTCCCATGGAAATGGCTGCAGATGGATGCCTGGTTAAGGCACAGGAGGGTGTGGATGGTGGCTGGGAAAGATCCTGCAAGTGGCTGGCAGGAAGGGGAAGCGAGGCTTAAAAGTAATTGGCAGGCCAGGCACGGTGGCTCACGCCTGTAATCCCAGCACTTTGGGAGGCCGAGGTGGGCAGATCATGAGGTCAAGAGATGGAGACCATCCTGGCCCACATGGTGAAACCCCGTCTCTACCAAAAATAAAAAAAATAATGAGCTAGGTGTGGTGGCGTGCGCCTGTAGTCCCAGCTACCTGGGAGGCTGAGGCAGGAGAATTGCTTGAACCCCAGAGGCAGAGGTTGCAGTGAACTGAGATCACAACACTGTACTCCAGCCTGGTGCCTGGCAACAGAGCGAGAGGCTGTCTCAAAAAAAAAACGACAACAAAAAATGTAGGTGGCAGTGGAACGGGTGTGTGGCTGGTGGGAGGGAGGGTGGGAGGGAGAGAAGGGAGGGAGGGTGGGGTGCTGACCTTCCCAGGGAGAGAGCTCTGGAAACCTCTGGCAGTTTCCTCAGCAGCCTGAACTTGGGGCCAAGGGGCCACCTCACCACGTCTGCTCATGCCCTGGTTGTCCTCTACCCACCGGGGAGTGGCAGCAGCTCCTGCCATTTCCTGCAGCAGCCTCTTGCTCTTGCCTTTGCTGGTTCTCTGTTCACTCACGCATTTGCTCACTTATTCTCTGATTCATTCAGGGCGAGGGTATGGCTGGGGACTCTGGAGCCAGAGTGTCTGGGTTCAAATCCTAAGGCTCCACTGTTAACCAGCTGTGTGCACCTGGGCAAGTCACTTCTGGACTAGGTGCTTTATCTGTAAAATGGGAGTAAGAAGAACACTGACTCGGCTGGGTTGTCAGGGAGATCAAACACGACGAATTAATAAAGCGGCGCAAGTGTTCGTGGTATTCATTTATCCAATCTTTCCAGTCTCTACTGGATTCCAGGAGCTGGCGGTTACAATGTTAAATAGGACAACCAAAATAATTAAATCACATACCAATTTTGAAAGGGTTCCACTGAGAATAGGGTGCTATGTAGAGATGGAGGTAGGAAACCTACTCAGGTCAGGGTGGTCAGGGTGGGCCAAGGAGGGACATTTATGCTGAGATAAGGGATGCTGGGACATGGAGGGCAGGCGGAAAAGAGTTGAGGCAAGTAGGAATGGCATGTGCAAAGGCCTTGAGCTGGAGAGGAGCCGCCAGCATGCCTGGAGGGCAAGAGGGGGGCAGGCAGAGGTCTGCTTGCCTGGTTAGGGTTTTGCTGTAAGTCTGTGTGTTGAGGGGGGGTGTGGTGGGGAGGAGCCCCAGGAGCTCTTAAGCAGGGAGTGATGTGATCTGATCTGATCTGTGTTTTTAAAGACTGACTGGCTGCTGGGAGGAGGATGAGTCATGCACACAGGGAAAACAGCAGGCTCCTTCAGTCATCTAGCCACAGAGGCAGGGGCGTGTCGGTAGCAGAGGGGAGGAATGTGTAGGAGGAATGGGAGGGGCTCTGAGGGGAGGGGACGGGGGATGGACAGGGGGGGGGGGGGGGGGGGGGGGGGGGTGGATGGCGGGGTGGGAGAGGGGGGGGGGGGGGCTAATGGATGCATAGGAGTGGGGAGTTGGTGGGTGGATGGATGGGAGTGGGTATGGGTAGATGGATGGATGGATGGATGGATAGGAGGGGGAGTGGGTGAGTGGATGGATAGCAGGGAGGAGTGGGTTGGTGGATGGATGGGAGTGGGTATGGGTAGATGGATGGATGGATGGATAGGAGGGGGAGTGGGTGAGTGGATGGATAGCAGGGAGGAGTGGGTTGGTGGATGAATGAGAGGCGGAGTGGGTGGGTGTATGGATGGGTAGGAGGGGGAGTGGGTGAATTGGGTGGGTGGATGGATAGGAGGGGGTTGGGGAGGTGGATAGGAGAGGGAGTGGTGGGTGGATGGATGGATAGATGGACTGATGGATGGGAAGAATGGACACCTGCATTGGGTGAGGGAATTGGCAGACCTTACTGACATTGGATTCAGGTGGTGATGAGGGTGTGGCAGCACGAATGATTGCCACCTTGAGCTATCAGGGGTGATGGTGCCAGTAACCAAGATGGGGAAGAGCAAATTGGACAGGTAGGGAAATTGCTTCCAGTCTTTGTGGCCCTCCTTCCCCGGGGACATTTTGCAAAGTCTGGGGAGAGCTGTCATTATCATTTCTCATCCCATTAGTCCCCCTGGACCCTTAAATGTCTTCTTCCTTGAGTAGGTCAGTGGCCCATAGGGTGTGGCTCTCCTATGCATCTTTCTGGCCTCACCCTGGTTCCATCTGATTTGCAATTTCAGAGATTCCAGATTCGCAGGTGGGGCAGGCGGCCTCCTGCATGACTGCATGCGCAGGTGAGTGATTCTCTTGGGATGGCTGAGCACACCTCTGGACCAGAAGCCTGAGCCCAGTACAGGGCCCCAGGGTGAAGCTGTCAGATGGGATCAGAGGCAGCCCCAGAGGGCCCTGCCTATGTTCCCAAAGATACCAGTTGGGAGGACCAAGTCTAGTTCTGGAAAGGCCACCCACAGACTTAAACGATAGGAAAGGGAAGAGTCAAATGCCTTAAGCCATCCCAGCTCCCAAGGTCCAGGACTTTTTCCTCATACCTGTGGGCCGCAGGTGGAATAAATGTCTTTGGCCAGGTGATGCCATTTGCATTTTGGAGTGGAGCAGATGAAAAAGCCTTTTGGGAAGAAATTCTTGGGAAAGAGAGAAGCATCTTAGGAACATGAGGTGTGGTTCTGTCTCAAGGAAATTGACATGAGAATGTAAATTCAATCACAAGCCTTAGGGAGGGGTGAGGTGTCATAATTAGGTTTCACACTTGATCCCCTGGCCACAATAGAAGCTTAGAGATTTGGCTCGAGAACTACAGACCTCTCTGTTCCCTAAATCAGCTCTTCCCCAGAACAGCTACTCTCCTCACCCCGAGATCCCCCATGGTTGGCCAGCTTTACAGCTTTGTCTTCTGTGGAGATCAGGATAACAGTCCCCCAACGCCACTTGATGTCCTTCAAGGTGGTGGGTGAGGAGTCGGACTGTGGAATCCCAGCTGTGTGACCTTGTGTAAGTTAGTTAACGTCTCTGAGCCTCAGCTGCTTCTACTGTAAGATAGAGAAAATAGTGTTCACCTCAAAGTTGGTTATGAGGCTTAAATGAGTTACTGCAGATGAATGCTTCTCAGCTGGGGTAATTGTGGCCCTCCCTCCCCTGGGGACGTTTTGCAAAGTCTAGGGACATTTTTGGTTGTCGCAACTGGGCTGTGTTACTGGCATCTCATCAGTAGAGGTCAGGGATGCTGTTAAATTTCCTGACAACACACAGGACAGCCCTCACAAACAGAATTCTTTGGCCCCAAATGTTAATAGTGCCCAGGCCAAGAAACCTTGACATGAGAATAAGGCTTAGCCCATGATGACACTGGCTAGCACTTACTGTCTTTATTTTCTTTTTCACTCTTATGAGGATATGCAGCTACTCAACCTTTCCCCAAGCTGGGGACAGGAAGCTCAGAGCCCCAGATGGAGGGGAAGATAGAGGTGTAAGCAAGGATGCTTGGAGGTGGAGTTGGGGGTCCCAGATGGCTGCAGATTGTCAAGGTGACATTACTCTCTGTCTCTGCCCTCCAGGGTCAGCTGGGCCCCACCTCCATGTGGGAACCAGATACAGCTATCGCTTTTCCACCAACACCAGCACCAGCCTGCAGGAGGTCCCGGTGGAGGGGAGTGGCCTTGGCCTCCAAGGCTTGGCTGTCCTTGATGTGCTTGGCCCATGCCAGATGGCTTTACGGGTGAGTATCTTTGGGTAACTGGGAGATCACGTTGACACAGGGGAGGACCCAGAGGAAGCCACAGCCCCTCACCTCCAATTTCCAATTTGCTTGATAAGCAGAGGAACTTTCTGAGAAATCTTACATTTGGCAAGTGAGGACCCTGGAGAAGAACGTGGAAAAGTGGTGCCATTTTGGTTGTAAGAGGTGCCATAGAGGGCCCACTGGGGGAATAGCAGAGGCTAAGGAAGGTATATTTTTAGGGCAGGTTGGGGGAAGTCCTTGGAGTGAGAAGAGCCATAGAATGAGGACATGCTGTGACCTAGGGGTGGACCGAGAGCCACATCTGAAGGTCTAAGGGTAAGCAAAGTCAAACTGAGTCAAGGCCTTTGGACAACGGAATAGACTGGGTGGAAGTCTATTCCCAGGAAGGCCTGCCCTGGCCTGTTTTCTGCTAGACACTGGCCTGGCAGTACCTGGGTCCACAGGCTCGGGTTAAAGGCAAACACTGAGGTGCAGTGGTGGTAGGTCCTGGGTTAAGGCAGAATTATACACTAGGCCTACTTGGTGGTTCCAGGTTTCTTTTCATTAAGATTTTCTGGAAGCTCCTCAATGTTTTTGCAAGTGGAAGTGCTTGCCCATTTGCCTCTGTCCCATTTCTCATAACCCTTATATTTTTTCCTGGATAAACCCTCCCACCCCCGATAAGTGGCCTTTTAGTTTCTGCTGGAGTGTCATGTATTGTGATGCGTTTTTGTATTGGCTGGAGCGCTTGCTAACAAGAGTTTCTCAAAACTGTTGTTGCATTTTCATGTAGACCACAGAATGGGGTCTTTCGTGGAGTGGCCCTGAGCTGCTTCTGAATGCTTAAAGTGTCCAAAATGTCAGAACTGCTGCTTTATTAGTCTTTGCCATCCTTTTACATCCTTCAAAACACTTGTAGTTGTTTTTATCTGCAGGGCCAGTTCTTACAAAGCAAATTGTGCTCTGTTGCAGTTTTATTCATTTGTTTGCTTTAAGCATTTAAGAAAAGATACCAATGTCAAATGTTGGCAAGGGTATAAAGAACTGGTGTGTTTCAAAGATTCTAGATGAAAATGGAAAGTTTCTGGCCCATTTGGAGGTTAATTAACTAAACATATTTTTAGAGCAAAAAGTGTAAAAATCACAAATCTTCAAAACAAGGAATTTCCATAAACCAAATATCTACATAGTGATCACCAGAGGAGGAAACAAAATAGAACCCCCAGAGCCTCCTTCATACTTCTTTTTGGTCACTTCTCCCAAAGGTACAGCTTCTTTTTTTTTTTGAGATGGAGTCTCACTCTGTTGCCCAGGCTAGAGTGCGGTGGCACAATCTCAGCTCACTGCAACCTCCGCCTCCCAAGTTCTGGCGATTTTCCTGCATCGGCCTCCTGAGTAGCTGGAATTACAGGTGCGCACCACCATGTCCAGCTAATTTTTGTACCTTTAGTAGAGACAGGGTTTTACCATGTTGGCCAAGCCGGTCTTGAACTTCTGGCCTTAAGTGATCTGCCTGCCTTGGCCTCCCAAAGTGCTGGGATTACAAGCGTGAGCCACTGCGCCTAGCCTGCCTGCCTTATTTCTATCACCATGCTTGAGTTTTGCCTGTCTTTGAACTTCTCTCTGATGGAATTGTACAGGATGCTTTCCTCTGTGTCTGGCTTATCTGTATTTGTATTTTTTTTCTGTGATTATAATATGGAATACACCATTTCAACATCTTAAGTGTATAATTCAGTGGCATTAAGTATTTTCACAGTGTTGGACAACCATCACCACCCTCATCCCTAGAACTTTTTCATCGTCCTAAATAGCTCTGTACGCACTGATGGCTGCTTCCCATTCCCACCCTGCAGACCCTGGGCACCTCTGTTCTGCTTTCCGTCTCTATGAACTTGCCTGTTTTTTAGGTACCTCACAGAAGTGGGATCACATAACATGTGACTGTGTCTGGCTTATTTTACTTAGCATAACGTTTTCAAGGTTCATCTACATTGTGGCATGTAGCAGAACTTCATTCCATTTTTTTTAAAAAATGTTTTTTTATTAAAAAAAAAAACAGAGATGGGGTTCCACCATGTTGGCCAGGCTTGTCTCGAATCCCTGACCTCAAGTGATCCGCCTGCCTCGGCCTCCCAAAGTGCTGGGATTACAAGTATGAGCCACTGTGCCCAGCCAAAATCTATTAATTTTTTTTTTTTTTTTTTTTTTTTTTTGTGGGGACAGAGTCTTGCTCTGTCGCCCAGGCTGGAGTGCAGTGGCTCAATCTTGGCTCACTGTACCCACCACCTACCTGGGTCAAGAAATTCTCCTGCCTCAGCCTCCCAAGTAGTTGGGATTACAGGTGCCTGCGACCATGCCCAGCTAATTTTTGTGTTTTTAGTAGAGACGGGGTTTTGCCATGTTGATCAGGCTGGTCTCAAACTCCTGAGCTCAAGTAACCCACCCGCCTCAGCCTCCCAAAGTGCTGGGATTACAGGCATGAGCCACTGTGACTGGCTGTATTAAATTTAAACAGTGAAATCAGTTCTTTTAGGGAGGATATTTTGCATTTTTAGGAAGTCTACCTTTTGCAACCAACAGACACACACCCGCCCACCCACCCACCCACCCTTTGGTGATGCTGGGCTATCCAAGTCTTCGTTATGGGCTAAGCCTTTGTTTGCTCTACAACGGAACATATTCCTGTTGCTACTGTAGAGTCCTATGACTCCCTCAACCAAACTGCCAGTGTCTTTTTGGGCAGAATGAGAACTTTCCAGACATTTAGCAGGGAGCTGTAGGTACTTAGCTGTGTCAGTGATCTACCCCTGGAGACATTCAGCCTTCACCACCCAGGCTTCGTACCTGGTCCAGGGAGGGGTCTCTCTGCCTTGCCCCCAACGTGGGTTCACGTATCCTGCTGGGCCCTTGACCTGCTTTGTGGGTGGGGTGCTGGCAAGATCGTGGGGCATGCCGGGAGTGGTCACCAACTCGCCGTGCTTTCTGCTTCAGCTCCGAGACTTCCAGGTGACATCCATCCGGGGGTCCAAGGTGGAGCTTCTGAAGGAGTCAGAGAGGCTGAGGTAAGACACTTGGCCATGGGGCCGGGACCTGCTCATGATGGGGCTGGAGGTGTGAGCTCTCTACCATCTTTGAACAGCCGTCGAGCTCTGGGTGCACTGAATTAGATTAGGACAAACAGTTAGGGTGACCCCTCTGTAGCAAAGAGATGCCATCGTGGACTGAAGTTCACAGAAGTTTCTGTATTTGTTTTGACCTTGTCAAGCACCAATGGAGACCACTGTGGGGGTGGGTGCCTTCATGTAGGAGCCTTGGGTGACCCCACCAGGTGACTTACCTGGTGGGAGGAACGCATCCTGTAGTTCTGGCTGTCCCCCCAAGTGTGTCCAGGGTTCACGCCTGTCAGTCACCGCCTGGGCATCATTGTTGAGGTTGTTCTGGAAGACTCCAGCTCATGGGACTGCTGGGCCGGTGGGGGTCTGCCTCTTCCCTCCTCCGCTCTGCCGAGACCCCATCCTCTCCCACCCCAAGCTAAGCTCCCCTTTTGTGACCCAGCCAAGCCTGGGATTCTCCCTGTGGCTTGTTTCCCAGGCCTCCCTGACAGTGGCCTTGGTGGCCTCAAAGCTCAGAGGGGCCGCCAGTCTGAAGACAACTCCTCTGCAGACTGCTCTTCCCTTTTTAGTGCGAATTCATTTGTTAAGAAATAAAGCCTTTGTCTAGGGATACCAGGATGGGGGATGCTGCTGAGGGACAGACAGATCCCCACTGAAAGGCAAGGGGAGGATCTCCTCCAAGGGACTATTGTCCCCCAGCTCCTCATCAGAAATGCTAAGTCAGCGGGGCCGGGGGTTGTCACTTCCTGGAGGCCAGACTGACACTTGCTATTCTGGGAGTGGTGGGTGCCATTAGCATTTCTCTCCATCAAGGCCTGAGACCCGGGGGACTGCCTTAAGACCCCCAGGATCTAGTTGGAGCTGGAGCGTGACTGCCGCCCCCCACCGCCCCTCCCCCAGAAGTAGACGTGGTGACGCATCTGTTCCCCAGGGCTCTGTCTTGCCAGCCTGTAGGGTTTGGGGACTCGGCAGCTTCCCGTCATCTTGGAGCATCTTTATCTTGCCCCTCCAAGCTCCAGGCAGGGAAGAGGATTTCACCACCCCTCACCCCCCACCTTCCCATCCTTCACCCTGCAGATAACAGACCCAGGCCCCTTTCTGCCAGGCAAAGGGCGGGCGGGAAGAGCATCGGGCTGAATTCTGGTCCTAGCTCCTCCTCTGGCTTGCTGTGTGACATCCCCCAAGAAGGCCCCTGTCTCGGGACTTCATTTCGTTGTCTCAGCAATGACAGAGTCTCAAGTCCCTTCCAGTTCAGGGTTTCTGCGGCCTGTGATGCAGGAGTCTGCCTGGGTTCACAGCCCTGCTGGGGCCCTGAGCTAGACACTGTTGCTCTGAGCCTGCTTCTCATCCGAATGTGGGTGGAGGGATGACAATGACCTCCCTGGTGGGATCTGTAGGGAGGGAACGACTCTCTTTACCTACCTATGTTCTGTAGTTGTGCCTAGAAATGAACCGACATTAGAAGAGGTAGATAGATTTTTTACACGCACAGAGACATTCCAGAATGAAAGAGTGAAGGCCCCCCAAAGTGGTGAATTTGGGAGCTTATGTACAATTTTCATGGGGGAAGGGGAGGAGGGAGGGAGGCAAGTTAGAGGGGAGTAGATGGTTTCTAGAAAACAGGAGTGGACCTTTAGGAGAAGAGGTAGGAGAGGCCGGGCACGGTGGCTCATGCCTGTAATCCAGCACTTTGGGAGGCCGAGGAGGGTGGATATGAGGTCAAGAAATCAAGACCATCCTGGCCAACATGTGAAACACTGTCTCTACTAAAAATAAAAAAATTAGCTGGGCGTGGTGGCAGGCACGTGCAGTCCCAGCTACTGGGTAGGCTGAGGCAGGAGAATTGGTTGAACCTGGGAGGCAGAGGTTGCAGTGAGCCGAGATCACACCATTGCATTCCAGCCTGGAGACAGAGGGAGATTCCAACTCAAAAATAAAATTATATTAAAAGAAGAGACAGAAGATGCGCAAGCGTGGGATGAAGTTTGTCTGTGTGTGGTGTCACCTTGCAGTTTTTAGAATGAGAGCTGCTCTCCCAGGTGATGAAACTCCCTGGAGAGGATTAATGACAATTAGGTTGCTTTTGGGGGATCTGTCTTAAGGCAGAAGAAGGGGAGTTCAGAAAGTGTCTCCCCATATTTGCTGTTTCTCAACAAATACAGCCTTTAGTTCAAAGTAGGCAGAAGGCTGGATGTGGCGGCTTACGCCTATAATCACAGTGCTGTGGGGAGACTGAGGCTAGAAGTTTGCTTGAGCCCAGGAACTTGACATCAGCCTGGGCAATATAACAGAAACCTGTCTTTACAAAAACTTTAAAAATTAGCTGGGCGTGGTGGCCACATGGTAGTGGTCCCAACTACTCAGGAGGCTGAGGCAGAAGGATCGTGTAAGGCCACAAGGTTGAGGCTGCCGTGAGCTATGATCACGCCACCGTACTCCAGCCTGGGCAGTAGAGCGAGACTCTGCAAAAAAAAAAAAAAAATGTCAGTACACCCAGGTGGCATAATTTGGGGTGGCACATCCCAAGCACCTTCAACTCCTTCTTGGGGTTGAGATGCTTTGGAATGATTGCCTAATCTTGGGGGCTCAGCCTTTCATTCTTTGACACTTGTGTCACACACCTGTCCTTTTGTCCCAGGTGTGACAAGGCTGGGGTGGCTCAGAGCCGACTTGGCTGCCCCAGAGCCCCGCTGCAGAGGGAAGAAGGGGGGGAATGTGGGGTTCCCCATGGGGGTTCTCCAGGTGCTCCACATGGGGGCTGGCCTGCAGGAGGACAGGCGTGCTGTGGCCTCTGGCAGTCAGCAGGTGACCTGGGGCGTCGGAGGGTCCCGCTTGACCCCTGTCTGCCCTCTTGCAGCACTGCCCTGGGCCGTAACCCGCTCCGCTTCATCCTGCATTCTGGACGTGTGGCCCGCCTGTGTCCCCGCCCCGCTGAGCCCCGCTGGGTGCTGAACGTGAAGCGTGCCGTGCTGAGCCTCCTGCAGGGCGATGCGGGGGCCTGCAGCCCCAAGACCCTGGATGAAGTGAGGCCAGGAGATGGGAAAGGGAGGGGAGTGGGGGTGGGGTGGACAGAAGGCCGACCTGTCCCTCACCGTGTCTGTCCAGGTGGACATCCTGGGCCGATGTCCTACCACATACCAGTGCCATGGGGACTGGCTGCACAAGACCAAGGACCTGGCTCGGTGCTCCCTGCGCAGGGGACGCTCCTCGCTGCATTCTCAGGCCCTGCCTGGAGTGGCCGTAAGTGCTGGGCGGGGTGGGGCAGGACCCGACAGCTGCTTTCCTAGACCCTCCTCTTCCTCCTTTTTTCTTCTGTTTCTGGCGTCCCTCCTCAGCTCCCCCTCCTCTACCCCAATTCCTTCTCTTCTTGGTCCTTTCTTTACCTCCTCTCCTCCCTTCCCCTTCCTTCCCCTCTTCTGCCTCCTAGAAATGTTACTGTATGTGTGTGTGGATGTATGCATCTGCTTCCTTAGAGACAGAGTCCCACCCTGTCACCCTGGCTGGAGTACAGTGGTGTGATCGTGGCTCAGTGCAGCCTTCAACTCCTGGCCTCAAGCGATCCTCCTGTCTCAGCCTCTCGGGTAGCTGGAACTACAGGCACAAGCACCACTCCTGGCTAATGTTTTAATTTTTATTTTTGGTAGAGAGGGTGTCTTGCTATGTTGCCCAGGCTGATCTTGAACTCCTGAGCTCAAGCGATCCTGCTGCCTTGTCTTCCTCCAGGGCTGCAGCTGTGGAAGTGACCCCCACACCCACCCCTCTGTCCTTTCCCTAATGCCTTCCTCCCCACCTCTGTCTCCAGCTCCCTGAAGAAGCAAGTGCTTTGTAAATAGCAAACATCTATCTGCAGAAGGATGAGAGAGGATCCCTGTTCATGTTGAGTCATTATGAAAAGTCTCAGCACCTGAGAAGTGGAGGTGGGCCTCTGCTGATGGGAATGTTTTCCAGCTGAGGCTCTGTCGTCCCCCTCTTGCGGGTCACTGTCTGCTGGACTTTCTTGCTTCCCCTCGTCCTTGCCACCTCCTGTCTGCCTTTGTCTGGGCCGCTGTTGGTGCAAGTCGGGGTGGGTGACACTGGGATGCAGCCCTGAGCGTCTCCTCCCCAGCCTCACTGAGAGAGGGGTGGGGGCCTGCAGTTCTGATGCGGCCCTCAGCCCTCCTCCCTTGGTCCCAGTTGGGTCCTGTGGGTGGCTAGATCCTGGCCTGAGCTGTCTGTTCTCCTCTTGGTCTGCAGCCTGGCCTGGCCTCCCGTCTGACCTGTGTCCAGAGCTTCCGGGGTGGCGTGCTGCGGGAGGCCTCCTGCACAGAGCTGGACACCGCAGGACCGCTGTCCGTGAAGGCGAGCGCTGTGCAGATTCGAACTCTCTCCTCACTCAGCCTGCTGCACGAGTTGGCCCGAGATCCAGCGGGCACAGGTGACCTCAGGCTTCCCTGGTGGCCACCCCCTGGCCATGGTGTGAGGGTGGTCTGGCCACAGGGGCCCAAGGAAGTCCAGGCTCCGTCCCTCTATCCTGGCCTGGATGCCTCTGAGCCATTTCTGAAAATGATCATCATCAGGAGAGTTAGCCACTTCTAGAAGCTTCTGCAGGCTCTTTCTGCAGGCTCAGATCAAATGGCTCTGACTTGGTAGAGTCCTTTTTCCCCCGTGGAGTCTTCAGTTTCTCAACCCTAAATTCAGTGTCTTCTCAGTTTGCTCGTTTCAGGGGCAAACTGACTCAGGTTTTCTGATTGTCCGGAAATTTCCTGCCAACACATAGCATTCCCTGAGACTTGGTGCCCTCCTACAATTTTGCTTGGAAAGAAACAAGCGAGGCCTGTGTCTGGGGGAGGATTTCTTTTCCGTGTTTGGAAACTGCCTTCCTTAATAATGAAATAAGAATGGTTATTCTTACTGCTGGGATTTTTGGAAGGATTTACTATGGGCCAGTGGCCATGCTGAGCCCTCTGTGTATTTCATTCTCATCAAAACCCCATTAGGAAGGTATTGTTACTAGTTAAATTTAAAGAGGAATTCTGTCCAGGTGCAGAGGCTCACGCCTATAATTCCAGCACTTTGGGAAGCTGAGTTGGGTGGATAACTTAAGATCAGGGGTTCGAGGCTAGCGTGGCCAACATGGCAAAACCCCATCTCTACTAAAAATGCAAAAATTAGCCACGCATGGATGTGGGTGCCTGTATTTCCATTTACAGGTATTGATCAACTTACCACCTATGCAACTTACGGCCATTCGACTTTACGACCACAATCGCTAGCCACGACTGCTCCGCGTCTGGCAGCGCAAACGTTGCCCAGCTGGGCGTACGACAGTGCGGACCAGCTTCTGACAGCACTACCATCTCCACGTGCACCATTTCAACTGTACATATAGCCTACTCAACTTACGACCAAATCGTGTTACGACCGGTCCACGGTCCCGACCGTGGTCGTAAGTTGAGCACTAGCTCGGGAGGCTGAAGCAGGAGAATCGCTTGAATCCAGGAAGCAGAGGTTGCAGTGAGCCAAGATCACACCACTGAACTCCAGCCTGGGCCATAGAGTAGACGCCATCTCAAAAAATACATTAAAAAATTTTTTTTTAATTTAAATTTTTTTTTTGGAGGCACAATTTTGTTCTGTTGCCCAGGGAGGAGTGCAGTGGTCTGATTATGGCTCACTGCAGCCTCAACCTCCCCAGGCTCACGTGATCCTCCTACTTCAGTCCCCCAAGTAACTGGGACTACAGGTACACAGCACCATGCCTGCCTAATTGTGTATTTATTTGTTTATTTATTTTGAGAGATGGCATTTCACTGTGTTGCCCAGGCTGGTCTCAAACTCCTGGGCTCAAATAATCCTTCCGCCTCGGCCTCCTGAAGTGCTGGGATTACAGGCGTGAGCCACCGCGTCTGGCCCTTTTGTTGTTGTTGTTACTGTCACTATTATTTCGAGATGAAGTCTGGCTCTGTCACCCAGGCTGGAGTGCAGTGGCTTGAGCTCAGCTCATTGTAACCTCCTCCTCCTGGGTGCAAGTGATGCTCCTGCCTCAGCCTCCTGAGTAGCTAGGATTACAGGCATGCGCCAGCACACCCAGCTAATTTTGTATTTTTAGTTGTGACGGTGTTTCACCACCAGGCTGGTCTCTAACTCCTGACCTCAGGTGACCTGCCTGCATCAGCCTCCCAAAGTGCTGGGATTACAGACATGAGCCACTGTGCCCAGCCTTCAACTTTTTTCTTTTTCCATGTTTACAGAAAACATCAACTTAATTTTTTTAAGAGACAGTCTTGCTCTGTCACCCAGGCTGGAATGCAATGGTGCCTTGACCTCCTGGGCTTAAAGGATTCCTCCGGCCTCAGCCTCCCCAGTACACCTGTGTGCCACCATGCCTGGCTAATTTTTTAAATTTTTTGTAGAAACGGGTCTTGCTATGTTGCCCAGGCTGGTCTTAGACTCCTGGCATCAAGCGATCTTCCCGCTGCAGCCTCCCAAAGTGCAGGGATCACAGGTGTGAGCCACTGTGCTCCACCTTAATCAGCTTCCGAGCATTGTCATCACCCTAAAAAGAAGCCTTGTGTCATTAACCATCATCTCCCCAGACCCTGGCAGCCACTGAACTACTTGTGCCTCTAAGAATTTTCCCATTGTGGAATTTCATATAAATGGGGTCATAAAGTGTGCCCTTTTGTGCCTGACTTCTTCACTCAGTACAGTGTTTAAGGTTCATCCATGTTGTGGCATGAATTGGAATTTCTTCTTTTTCCTTGCTGAATAATATTCCATTGTATGGATGAATTTTTTTCCATGTTTCCATTGTCATTCCCAGGAAGCTTATGGAGTCAGAACTGGATTCAGGTTCCGACTCTGTGTTGTGTGACTTGGGCTGATAGCGTGTGTCTGTGCCTCAGTTTCCTTAGCTGTAAATATATGGGTAGGGCACCGCTTACCCCATAGGTTATGGGGAACGTTATAGAAAATGGTCAGCTGGACACTGTGGCTCCAGCCTGTAATGCTAGTTCCTTGGGAGGCCAAGGCGAGCAGATTGCCTGAGCCCAGGAGTTCAAGTCTGACAACATGGTGAAGCCCCATCACTATGAAAAATATACAAAATGAGCCGGGCATGGTGGTGTGGGTCTGTAATCCCAGCTGCTTGAGGGCCTGAAGTGGGAGGATCACCCAAGCCCAGGAGGTCAAGGCTGCAGTGAGCTGTGATTGCGTGACTGTTCGAGCCCGGGTGACAGAGTGAGACCCCTTCTGAAAACAAAGGAAAGGAAAGAAAATTGTCATTGCCTTTAAGCACCTGGCACATGGCCGTTGTGAGCACTAGTTTACATCCTCCTGGCCCCATTCTTTAGGGCCCGATCCCAAAGGCACACTTGGAAATGAGCCTTCATCCCTCCTTGAAATTCTGTGCTGGGCTCAGGTGGCCCTGGCTTGGCCCTGTCCTTCTCCCCGGGTAATTGTTCCAGGGTTAGAGTCATCTGGTTCGCAGCTGTTGTGGGAAAATTCTCTCCAGGCCTGCAGATCCTTGGCAGGTCATCAGGAGTGTTTTTTTTTTGTTGTTGTTGTTGTTTTTTTTGAGATGGAGTTTCCCCCTCGTTGCCCAGGCTGGAGTGCAGTGCCGTGATCTGAGCTCACCACGACCTCCGCCTCCCAGGTTCAAGTGATTATTCCTGCCTCAGCCTCTGGAGTAGCTGAGATTACAGGTGTGTGCCACCACACCCAGCTAATGTTGTATTTTTACCAGAGACAGAGTTTCTCCATGTTGGCCATGCTGGTCTCGAACTTCTGACCTCAGGTGATCTGCCCACCTCAGCCTCCCAAAGTGCTGGGATTATAGGCGTGGGCCACCACTCCCGGCCCAGGAGTGTTTTCATTCATGCTTGTCTGAGCACCTGTTATGTGCTGAGCACTGCCAGGGCTCTGGGGACAGGGCTGTGATCATGGTCAACTCCATCCCTGTCACCCTGAGGCTGCCACCCACCTGGGAGGGGGAAACTGCAGATGGAGAAAAACCCAGTCAAGGTGGCTGGAGACAGTGATCATGTCAGAAAAGAAATTAAACAGCCTCACGAAAGCCAGTGACTTAGACGGGGCCCAAGAGGGCCTCTCTGAGGACGTAATGATTTTGCTGAAGCATAAGACAAGCTCAGCTTTGGGAAGATGCAAGAAAGAGCATTCAGGGAGGAAATGGGAAGTGCAAAGGCCCTGGGGCAGGAATGACCTTTATGTGTCCCAGGCTCCCCTGGGGCTAAGGAGAGGTCTGGAATAGATGGGTGGATGTATACACCTGTGTGAAGCTAGACACACTGCGAGGGTGAGTGCTCAGGCCTGCAGGCAGCCAGGTGGGATCGCACAGCATCTAGAGGGCGCACGCCTCTGCCAAGCAGCATGGAAGCTGAGGGAAGTGTAGATTGCAGATTCGAGGGTAGGTCTTTGGGGTGTGGGGGTCCAAGCAGGGCTCAGGAAAGTTTAGCACCACAGCTGTGTGCAGAGCAGAGGGCAGTTTCTGCCATCACCCATCTTTCCTAGGAAGCAGCCACAGGACTGAAGGCATGAGAAAGATTAAGACTTTTTTGACAAGGTGACATGTGACATGATACAGAAGGACACATGCGTACCCACCCTCTCCAGAGGCTGCCACCATTCTTGGCTTCTAGTATATTTTCCAGACAAATCCTGTGTACTTACAGATACATTGGCGACTGTGTCTTTTTGGGTTGTCTGGCTTTTACATTTTAAGTTTTTTTGAGACAGCCTCACTTTCGTTGCCCAGGCTGGAGTGCAGTGGTATGATCTCGGCTCACTGCAACCTCCACCTCCCAGGTTCAAGCAGTTCTCCTGCCTCAGCCTCTGTGTAGCTGGGATGACAGGCATGTGCCACCACACCTGGCTAATTTTTTCTATTTTTAGTAGAGATGGGTTTCACCATGCCGGCCAGGCTGGTCTTGAACTCTTGACATCAGGTGATGCACCCACCTTGGCCTCCCAAAGTGCTGGGATTACAGGTGTGAGACCCTGTGCCCGGCAGAGAGTAGTCTGTTTCTATTTTACTTTTTTGAGGTGGAGTTTCGCTCTTGTTGCCCAAGCTGGGGTGCAATGCGATTCACCCGCTTCAGCCTCCTGTGTACTTGGATTACAGGCATGCGCCACCATGCCTGGCTAATTTTTTGTATTTTTAGCATAGAAAGGGTTTCTCCATGTTGGTCAGGCTGGATTTGAACTCCCAACCTCAGGTGACCCGCCCACTTTGGCCTCCCAAAGTGCTGCGGTTACAGGCTTGAGCCACTGCGCCCAGCCTGTTTTTATTTTTGCCCCATACACTCTTCTGCATCTTGCTTTGGTTCCTCGATGGCTTGGAGGTCTTTTGAAGGCAGGGCGTGTCCTGCTGACCTGTTTCTGTTAAAGGGTACTCAGTGTTCCCTGGTGTGAGTGGGCCATGGTTTGTGTGCTCATCCCCCACTGGTGGGGACACAGGTTGCTTCTCATCTGAGGCTGTTTGCAGTGACGCTGCCACGATTTCCCTCCTAGACACCCTTCTTACCTATCGCCTGAAACATGCTGAGGGAAGCATTGGCCGGGGTGGGGACGACTCCCAGAGGACTTCCTAGCTCACTCTGCGGTTTCCCCATGTGGTCATCCCATCCACCTCTTGCCATCCCAGATCCAGATGATGGAGGCGATGAAGACATGACCCCAAGCAGCCTGCTATACGAGTGGGAAGAGACTCCATCCCAGGCCATGGTGGCCGCTGCGGACGACTTAGTGAGGAGGCTGTGCCTGGCTCAGACAACCAGCTTGCAGGTAAGTGGCTTCTGCAGCCGCAGGCCAGAGTCTTTCCTGGCCCTGAGTTCCTAGGACATCTTCTTCCTGCCCACATCCTGGCCCTTCCTCTCAGTTATTTAGTATCCGGGATGGCATGTACGGGTGAGTAGGCTGTGCACTGCCCAACTGTGCCTGGTTGCAGAAGGAAATCAGGATGGCGTGTGCCAAGCCAGTGTCCTACCCCAGGTTGGATGTGAGCAGAGGGGAAGCCTTTTCTCCTCTGTCTGTCTAGAAGCAAACAGCAGTCCTGTTGATTTACAATCTAACCTCCCAGGCGTAGTCACAGATGAGCCTCAGCACTGAGGATTTCCCACAACAAAGTTAGAAACACAGTCAGGCGTGATGGCTCACACCTGTAATCCCAGTACTTGGGAGGTGGAGGCTGGTGGATCACCTGAGGTCAGCCTGGCCAATGTGGTGAAACCCCATCTCTACTAAAAATACGAAAAATTAGCTGGGCCTGATGGCACATGCCTGTAATCCCAGCCACTGGGGAGGCTGAGGTAGGAGAATCGCTTGAACCTGGGTCGCGGAGGTCGCAGTGAGCTGAGATTGCACCATTGCACTCCAGCCTGGGCAACAATAGTGAAGCTCTGTCTCAAAAAAAAAAAAAAAAAAAAAAAAAAAAGTTAGAAACACATGGCCAAGGCCTCCTCAGAAACTCCCAGCTGTTTCAAGTCAAGAGGTGGCTGTGGCTTTTTGAGACTTATGGCAAGTTCCTTCATCGGTGGTCATCAAGTGTCCGAGACCCTGAGGCTGTGCTCTGATGACGCGAGTTCTCCTCCCCACCTGGCTTGTTCTGAGAGAGAGCCTTGAACCCACATATAAGATGGAAAGCATGAGAGAGATGGTTTAACGTGGCACAGTCCCTGGGGAAGGAAATTGATGTGTCATTGGATTGAAGACTCATCCAGATAATCCAGGATGATCGTATCTCAAGATCCTTAACTTAATTAAATCTGCAAAGATCCTTTTTGTAAATAAGGGAAATTTACAAGTTCTAGGACTTGGGACATGGGCATGTCTTTTTGGGGGCCTCCTTTCAATGTCCTACAGTTATTTTATTTTTTTAAGACAGAGTCTCACTCTGTTGTTCAGGCTGGAGTATAGTGGTGCAGTCATGGCTCACTGCAGCCTTGACTTCCTGGGCTCAAGTGATCCTCCCACCTCAGCCTCCAGAGTAGCTGGGACTTCAGGTGCATGCCACCACACCTGGCTAATTCTTGTGTTTTTTGTAGAGTCAGGGTTTCGCCATGTTGCCCAGGCTGGTCTTGAACTTCTGGACACAAACAATCCTCCCACCTCAGCTTCCCAAGGTGTTGAGATTACAGGCGTGAGCCACCATGCTCTGCCAAGGCTTTACGGTTTTATTGGGCGCTCGGTGTATGCTCAGACAATCAGCTCCAGGGCCTCACCTGCATAATTTAATTTAATCATCTCAGTGAAAGTTATATCATTGTGTCCATTTTACAGGTGAGGAAACTGAAGCTTGAAGAGTGTAGGAAATGTGCTTAAAGCCACCTTGCTAGTAAGTGAGAGCTGGGCTGTTATCCTGGGCAGTCTGGCCCAGAGCAGGGTTTCTCACCCTGGGTACTGTGGACACCAAGGGCTGGGTTGTGCTTTGTGGGGTGTGAGAGGGAGGCTGTCACGTGCAGTGTAGGATGTTTAGCAGCATCTCTGGCCTCTTCCCGCAAATGACAGCGTCATCCCCACCTGCAGTCCATGACAACCAGATGTCCCTAGGGAGCACAGTTGTCCCCAGTAGGGGACCGCCGCTCTCCGGCCTGGGCTTTAACCATTGCACCACTGAACTTCATGGCTTGATGGGAAGGCAGGCCTGCATCCTTTGTCTGGCTCCAAAAGCACCCTGACCACTGCCTGGACAGCTCCCCTGGCAGGGGTGGCTCAGGGCACGGTGCGCTGTGGGTCTGGGTCTCCACATTTGGACCCTGATGGTGCTAGCCAGAGAGGGCACTGTGCGGCTGTCTGTGTTAGAGCACTGAAAAGGAAGTTACTGCCACTGGGGAGGTCCCCTGGGCTGAGGGGTGAAGTGCTGAGGACCCTGTTGTTGGAAATGGCTTTGCAGGGACCCGTCGGTGTACGCCAAGCAGCTCCTGGGAGGGCTGAGGGCCTGCCTGGGTTGCCAAGGGGGATAGACCTCATGAGTGTCTGCTTGAAATGCCTTTGCCTCTCCCTATTGATGGTGGCCAGGAGACAAGGTTTGTTTTTCAGTCTGGAAACAAAACCAAGACTCAGTGCACAATAGAAAGCAAACCCCCAGTTGGGACCTCCGCAGAGGCCCTGAGTTTTCGAAGCTGGCAGCAGTGGGTGGGATGGCCAAGAGCTTCCCTAAGGAACAAAGGAGGAGAAAGCAAGGGGGCATTGTGGGTGGGAGGGGACAGACAGAGGGAGCCAGCGGGGCCACCTTCTGCGGGCTGCCAGGAAGGACGCCTGGGAGAGGGCGTGGCTCATCACCCGTCTTGGGTGTTGTGAGGACAGGGAGGTGAGTTAAAGGTGTGCTTACTAAGGGCTGACTCTGTGCAGTCAAGAGACAGCGTAGACAGTGGTGAGACAGGCCTGGCTTATAAGAGCGGGTGAGTAGATGGCGAGGTGTCCTGCAGGTGGGCGTTAAGCACTGCTGTTGCAAACATTAAGTTGTGGCCGGGCGCGGTGGCTCATGCCTGAAATCCCAGCACTTAGGGAGGCTGAGGTGGGTAGATCACCTGAGATCAGGAGTTTGAGACCAGCCTGGCCAAGGTGGTAAAACCCGTCTCTACTAAAAATACAAAAATTAGCCGGGTGACTATAATCCCAGCTACTTCGGAGGCTGAGGCAGGAGAATTGCTTAAACCCAGGAGGTGGGCATTGCAGCGAGCTGAGATTGCTCCACTACCCTCCAGTCTGAGCGACAAGAGTGAGACTCCATCTCAAAAAAAAATTAAGTTGTATTAACGTAGCTGACTAATGGGTACAAATACACACTTCCGTAGAAGAAATCAGACCCTGATACTTGATAGATTCTTAGGGTGACGACTGTAATTAATATTAATTCTACGTTTAAAAATAGCTGGGGCTGGGTGTGGTGGCTCACGCCTGTAATCCCAGTCCTTTGGGAAGCCAAGGTGGGCAGATCGCTTGAGGCCAGGGGTTTGAGACCAGACTGGCCAACATGGAGGAACCCCATCTCTACAAAAAATACAAAATGGGCCGGGTGTGGTGTCGCATGCCTGTAATCCCAGCTATTTTGGAGGCTGAGGCAAGAGAACCAAGGAGGTGGGGGTTGTAGTGAGCTGAGATTGTGCCATTGCACTTGAGTCTGGGCAACAAGAACGAAACTCCAACTCAAAAAAAAAATGACTGGAAGAGAATAATTTGAATGTGTCTAGCGTAAAGAAAAGATAAATAGTTAAGGTGATAGATATCGTAATTATCCTGATTTAATTAGATGAATGTATCAAATGATTCCACGGGTACCCTGAAGATATGTACATTTAATGTGTATCAGTAAGTAAATAGGCTGGGCACCCTGGCTCATGCCTGTAATCTCAGCACTTTGGGAGGCTGAGGTGGGATGATCCCTTGATCTCAGGGGTTTGAGACCAGGCTTGGTAACATAGGGAGAGCCCATTTCTACAAAAAACCAGCCAAGCATGGTGGTATGTGCCTGTGGTCCTAGCTACTTGAGACGCTGGTGGGAGGATGGCTTGAGCCCGGGAGGTTGAGGCTACAGTGAGCTGTGATCACACCACTGCCCTCCAACCTCAGTGACAGAGTGAGACTCTTCTCCAAAAAAAGAAAAGAAAAATTTAAAAAATAAAATAAAATGAATTATATTAGAAACAATGGTATGAAGTGCTCCAAACCATGACCACCTGGCTACTTTACCACAGTTTACTGTCATCTTGCATTGGAGGTTAGTCATGTTGATTGTAACTGTGTGGTGGAAATATGTGCTAAGGTTGCAGATTTCTTCGCAGGTCCGTCCTTAGCAATTGTATGTTGGTAGCTTGAAATTGACCACGATGGGTGTATTTACACCATGCGAATCGGCAAACGCTACAAATCAGGACTTTTTTTTTTTTTTTTTTTAAGCCCTTGCCTGTCAGACGCTGGTTAAGAGTGTGGGCTTAGGAGCTGGTGCCCTAGTTCAAGTCTCTACTCTGCCACTGAGTAGGATGTGCCTGCTGGCACCTGACTCAAACACTGATTATCATCTTCCTTCTCTGTCAGCTTGGACCAGTGCCTGGTACATAGCAAAGGCTCCTTACTAAGTAACTAGTGGCGTGGTAATTATTACTATTTTTCTTTTTTTTTAAACAGGGTCTTGCTCTGTCACTCAGGCTGGAGTGCAGTGGTGTGATCTTGGCTCATTGCAATCTCTGCCTCCTGGGTTGAAGTGATTCTCTTCTCAGCCTCTTGAACAGCTGGAATGACGCGCCTGCCACCACAGCTAGCTAATTTTTGTATATTTGGTAGAGACGAGGTTTCACCATGTTGCCAGGCTGGTCTCCAACTCCTAACCTCAGGTGATCTGCCTGCCTTGACCTCCCAAAGTGCTGGGCTTACAGGCATGAGCCACTGCACCTAGCCTTATTATATCATTGTGTGTTATTGGCGGTGGTGGGGTGGCAGGTTTTTTACTGACCTAAATGTCTGTCTGTCTTTTTTCCCCCCCTTTTGAGATGGAATCTCTTTCTCTTGCTTAGACCGGAGTGCGGTGGTGTGATCTCGGCTCACTGCAGCCTCGACCTCCTGGTTCATGTGATTCTCTTGCCTCAGCCTCCTGAACAGCTGGGATTAAGGCATGCAACACCATGCCTGGCTAATTTTTGTATTTTTAGTAGAGACAGGGTTTCACCATGTTGACCAAGCTGGAATCGAACTCCTGACCTCAAGTAATCCACCCACCTTGGCCTCCCAAAGTGCTGGGACTCAGGCGTGAGCTGCCGTGCCTGGCTCCGGACTTGATTTCTGGGCAGAAGCCTTGAGCCCTTTGTCTCCATCCATAGCCTGCCTAGGCCTGCTCTCTTTTTTGCTTTTGAATTTCTTCTTCCACCAATGGAGGGAAAGCAGGATGAGCCACTCATGAGCCCTTCTATTGTGCCTGGCTCTGAAAGGCCCATTCTCAGGGTAACAGTTGTGGCCAGAGGCTTGCCCAGAGCAGGAGGAGTGGTCCTGGGCAGGCACCATCTCCCGCTGCCCGTCAGCTGTTCTGAGCCCAGGGTGCCAAGGGCAGTCAGGGAAAGGCAGCCAGGGGCCAGAAAGACATGTAACCAAGCCCATTAGGAAGGAAGGAAGCAGGCCTGGAACTGAAATTTTTTTGGATAGCTGCCGCTCACTGGGCAAGAGAGTCTTTGAGGCCACCAGTGGTCAGGGCCAGCCGCGATGGTGGTGGTCAGCCTGCAGCAGGGGCTGGCTTGTGGGTCCTGCTGCAAGAAGGAAAGGCGGAGCTGAGGGTAGCCACTGGCTCTGCCCACACAAGGCATATTCCGGGAAGGCTGTCTGGATTCTGGCCGGCAGGCATGTTGGCAAGTGGGCCGAGTGACCAGTGAGGGCCTGTTTTGCAGTCTGTGTCTTGCTGAGATCAAGCTTCGTATGTGGGGATTCCGTCACTGTCACACACACAGCAGGGAAGCCAAGGGCCAGGGAAGCAGGTCCCAGCCTTGGAGGACCCCTGGTGGGTGAGGTCTACAGCCTGGCCCTGGACAAGACTGGGGAAACACGGGGGGCTTCCCTGCAGGAAGCTGGGACCTGAGTTGGCTTGGCTCTTACCTTGTTGCTCCTTCTGTGGCTTTGGGTTTAGGTCAATGTGGTGAGCCTGAGTGAGACTACGGGGGTACCAGGAGGGAAGTTTCCCAAACTAAACGTCTCCTAAACCCGGGGGCTGCTCTGAGTCCTTTATTTCTTGTGAATTTTGGGCCTCCTGCAGCCCCCATAATGCCCTTTATTAGCTGTCACTGTTAATAATTGTATAAAACAATTACATTCTTTTTTCATTAGAAATATTGGAAAAGGCAGGGTACAGTGGGCTCACGCCTGTAATCCCAGCACTTGGAGGGGCTGAGGTGGGAGGATCACTTGAGCCCAGGAGTTTGAGACCAGCCTCGGCAACGTAGTGAAACATCATTGCTATGAGAAATGCAGAGAAATTAACAGCGTGTTGATGTGTGCCTGTATTTCCAGCTACACGGGAGGCTGAGGTGGGAGGATCGTTAGAGCACAGGTGCGTGAGGCTGCAGTGAGGAGTGACTGTGCTTCTGCCCTCCATCCTGGGAGACAGAGGGAGACCCTGTCTTTAAAAAAAAAAAAAAAAAAAAGTATATATATTATATAGGAAAATCTCACCACCTCGATAAATATTTGAAATATGCTAAGACTCATTAGAATAATTAGATTATAATCATAGTGAACATTCATTGGGCTTTTATTAGCTGCCACAGATTCTGACAATATGTCTTGTTTCACTGCCATATCCTGAGTGCAGTGCAACGCACATAGTAGGTACTCAATAAATACCTGCTAAATTAAAGAAAAGTGAACCAGCCTGTGTGCTTGTAGGGGCTGGGGGTGCAGTGGGGGAGAAGATGGACCTGGAGCCTCATTTCACTGGGTCTCAGGACACCTTGGGAGAAGGGGGCAGGTCCTCCCCACTTTCCCCACAGTTGTGCTCGCCAGCAGGGGACAGGTGAGGTGACCTTTGGGGATCCCCCACACTGCTGGGTGTCTCATGCTGCTCCCTCTGAATCCTAGGCTATGGACTTGTTCCTGACACTGGTGTCCCAGCTCCACGGCCTTTCTGGGGGTGAACTGATGGAACTCTGGCGACATTCTTCCTTCAAATGCCGAGACAACGGGTAAGGCCCCTCCCTGGGTAGCGGGTGGACCAGGAGTTGGCTGGGGGTGTCCCTGGCTTATGGGGAGTCTTAGTGCTGAGGGATGGATGCTGATGTCTTATCCCGTCCCCGAGACACGACACTGACTTGCCCTTCAGTCCAAGAATGTGCGCCAAGGAGGAGATTAAGTGGGGAGCCTGGAGGTTCCCACGGGGCCCAGGCTGGATCCTGCCTGGGACCAGAAGTTGAAGGGCCTGGTGCATAAAGACAGCCATTGTTCCCTTCCCCAGACAGGGACCCTCTTGCTGGAATTAGCATTCCAATGCGCCTAGGGTACCCTCCTGCAGGGGGTGGATCGGAGAGTCAGGGCTGGGCGCTGCTGGGCAGGGCTGGGATTCCACCACCCAGTCGTTGCTGATCTGGGACCAGTAAGGGGGGTAATGAGACTCGCAGTCTGAGAGGGGAGTTTCTGAGGCACTAACTCCTATGCTCGGGAGTCGGAGACCAGCCTGGGCAACATAGCAATGACCCCGTCTCTACAAAAAATGAAAACATTAGCCAGGTGTGGTGGCGCACAGCTGTGGTCCCAGCTCCTTGGGAGGCTGAAGTGGGAGGATCACTTGAGCCCAGGAGGTGGAGGCTGCAGCGAGCTGTGATTGCACCACTGCACTGCAGCCAGTGTGACAGAGTGAGACCTTGTCTCCTAAACAACAACAATAAAAAATGTCCTGATGTTGTGCAGAATATTCAAGTTTGAAATTTAGAGACTGTTTGCTGATTGTTGGTTCCTCTTCCACTCGGAATTCTCACCCGACTCGGTGGCATTTGCTTGGGTGGGATTCAGCAGAGCACCGGGTGGGGAACTTGTGTTTTTCCAAACCACTTTGCTGGGTGGGTAGAGCTGGCAGGGCCTGTAGTGGGCGCTGTGGTCCCAAGAGGACAGGCCCCCGCCAGGCTGGGGGGGGCCCAGACCCAGATCATCTCCTCTCAAGGTGTATGAGGGTGGGCACGTCTGTACCGCACCTCCCTGAGCCTCAGTTTACCCCCGGGTGACTTTGGTGAGATGAGGTGCTCAGCACAGGTGGGTCACCTTGCTGATCTCAGGCAGCCGCTGCTGGATGCGCTGCGCTCCTGTGGGACGGAGCCCTGCGTGGGCCTCATGAAGGAACTCCTCGTATCCGGGGAGGTGGAGCCAGACGAGGCGGAGGCGTGGCTTTCATCACTGGCCTTCATCCCACAGCCCACAGATGCCATGGTCCACGTGCTGCTGGTGAGTCCCTGCACCCCACCCGCGCCGCCGTGTCCTCCCTGCCTGGCTTGGCTGCTGGTTAGACACCGGGTAGGGTTGGGGGTGATCAATTCTTTTGTGTTAACCCCTCATGAAATCAGCGGAGGGGGCCAGACCCCTCACCCTCCTGGGCTAGTGTGGCAGGTTCAAGGGCACCTTTGGTATCAGAGAGATCCAGGTTCAAGTGTCAGCAGTGTGTGATCCCAGGCAAGTGACTTAACCTTTCTGAGCCTGTTCTCTGTCTCTCTCTCTCTCTTTTTTTTTTTTTTTTTTTTGAGACGGGGTCTTGCTCTGTCACCCAGGCTGGAGTGCAGTGGGACAATCTCGGCTCACTGCAACCTCTGCCTCCCAGATTCAGGTGATTCTCCTGCCTCAGCCTCCAGTGCAGCTGGGACTACAGGTGCCCACCACCACGCCCGGCTAATTTTTTTTTAGTAGAGACGGGATTCTTGGCCAGGCTGGTCTTGAACTCCTGACCTCAAGTGATCTGCCGTCAGCCTCCCAAAGTGCTGGGATTACAGACGTGAGTCACCACACCTGGCTGTTTTCTGATCTCTAAAAGGAGGATGGAAGTCATACCTCTATGCTGGGCTCATAGTGAGGAATGAAATGCTGTGTGTGAAGTGGTTCTCCTGGTGTCAGGCACGAAATCTGAGCACTTGAAATTACAGCTGCCACTATTGTTATAAACACATACTTAATGGGTCTAGAGATTAGGAAATCTGTGTGAGATGAGGTCGGTAATTTCTACCCATACATGGAGGTCTCGTTTAATCCTTGAGATGTCCCTACTGCAGTAGGTGGTCTTATCAACCCCGTTTTGCAGTTGAGAAAACTGAGGCCCAAAGAGGTAGGGCAGTTTCCCCAAGGGATTGCAGCTGCTCTGCCTTTCACTGAGATTCTGACCTGAGACCTTGGGGTGTGTCCTGACTTGCCTGGGCTGGGGGGTGTCACCTGTCACTCCTTACCTTGTCCCAGCTGATAGTGAGTCAGAGGACGTGGGTGGGGAGCGAGAGCGAAGACACAGCTGGAGCGGGGCCGCGGGGTCCCTGGGGCATCAGAGACCCCTACATTGGTTGAATAGGCCCCAGCATGATCTGTGAGGTCTTGGAGCTGGTCGGGCCCTGGCTGTCCCTCCGGGCAGAATAGAGGGAGCCTTTGCCTTCTGCCCCTGACCCCAGGGTTTGGGGTGGGGCTATGCCAGGCAGTCTGTGTGGTTGGCTCCGCTCAGCAGACAAGAATCAGGCACTGACTTGGAACCAGGCCCATGTTGGGCCCCAAGAGGCATCACCCACAGTTGACAGCCTAGCAGGTGACTTGCTGGCCACCAGGCGTGCCACAACCACCCAAGACCTGCGCTGGGCTTAGCCAGTCTCCCTGGAAACATCTGTCTACTTCCCCCCATTCCTCCATCCCCTCTCCCACCCCTCCTTCCTCTTCCCCCTCTCCTTTCCCATCCCCCTTTTGTCTTTCCTTCTCCCCTCTCCCATCCCTCTTCTCTCTTACTCCCCCCCCTTCCTCCCTCCCTTCACTGGATTATTTGTACATTTGTTCCACATATATGCAGTAACTGAAAGCACAAACCCATCTGGACTTCCCGGTTTCAGATCCCAACCCTGTCCCTCACCAGCAGGACCTTGGCCAAGGCACTTCACTGTCCCAGGCCTCAATTTTCCCCATCTGTGCAATGGAACTATTTTGTAGGATGATCTTGCAGACCAAGTGAGTTGCGTGGTGTGTTCGGAGGGAGATGGCTGTTGACATTAGTCTGGGACACAGCCCGGAGCCAAAGAGGTGGCGTCCGTTGGCTCATGGAGCCTGGAAGCTTCCTCTGCCTGCCTCACAAGCGATGTTCCACCTGCAGGCCAGAGCTCATGCCTCTCTGGGCCGTATTTTCTTGTTCTGTCATCCGGTCAGCAAGGCTCTGCCTGAGCTGTGGCAGGTTCTGGGGATGTGAGCTGTCTTCATGCAGCCTGGGACGAAGGGGTGTGGGGGGGGAGTGAGGAGTGAGGGGCAAGCAGGGAAAGAGAGAGTATTTTAGTGAACTTTTAATTTCAGAATACATTTAATTATTTATTTATGAGACTGGGTCTCACTCTTTTGCCCAGGCTGGAGTACAATGGCGCAATCTTGGCTGGCTGCAACCTCCACATCCTGGGTTCAAGTGAGTCTCCCTGCCTCAGCCTCCCCAGTAGCTGGGATTACAGGTGCATGCCACCACACCCGGATAACTTTTGTATTTTTAGTGGAGACCAGTTTTTACCACGTCGGCCAAGCTGGTTTCGAACTCCTGACCTCATGTGATCTGCCTGCCTCAGCCTCCCAAAGTGTTGGGATTATAGGCATGAGCCACTGTGCCCAGGCTTCTTGATGGTGTCTTTTGATGAACAAAAGCTGTTCATGTTGGTGAAGTCCAGCTTCCTGGACTCATGCTTCATCTCTCCCAGGTCCCGACGCTTCCTGTCTTTTCTTTTCCCAGATGTTTTCTTACATTTTCGGGGAGGGCTGGTTTGGGGTATGATGTCTGAGCTTTGGAATCATGTTGGAAAGGTGAAATCGGTTCAATAAGAGTCACGGGTTTGAGGATAATTTTATTTTGCCATCTTTAAAAATGAAAAAGAGCCTGGCTCAGTGGCTCACACTTGTAATCCCAGCACTTGGGGAGACTGAGGCAGGTGGATCACGAGGTCAGGAGTTCCAGACCAGCCTAACATGGTAAAACCCTGTCTCTACTAAAAAAAAAAAAAAAAAAAAAAAAAAAAAAAATTAGCTGGGCGTGGCGGCGGGCGCCTGTAATCCCAGCTACTTGGGAGGCTGAGGCTGAAAATTGCTCGAACCCAGGAGGCGGAGGTTACAGTGAGCCAAGATCATGACAGAGCAAGACTTTGTCTCAAAAAAATAAAAAATACATAAAACAAAAATAAAAAAATAAAAAAGTGGTTATTTTAAACAGACCTTTAACTGTAAGTCTTTTTAAGTCAGAGATTTTTGCATTAAGACGGGCTTTTTTCTCCTCCCTCCCTTTTTATTCCACTTTTAAAATGCATTTTTCCTTTTCAAAATTATCCATTCTTTTTGTGATGTGCTTTCTGGTTTTTGTGAAAACAGGGAAGGCTGGCCATTCTGGGCTCATCCCCAGGGCAGCTGTACACAGAACCGACTGGGTCATTACTGCCGGGCCTGCTGTCAGCACCCAGGCGTCCTGCTGGCCCAGCTGTCCTGGCGGGGCCACCGGAAGTGGCTCACAGATCTGGGCTCTCTGCCAGCCAAGAGGCACCAGCCTGCCCCGAAGCCCTGCAGGGCCTGACCAGGCTTCTGGCTCCAGCTTTGGTCTGGGACAGGCCTGAGCCTGCCCTGTCCGCACCCCCGCTGCCTTTCTTGGGTGCAGCAGGCGGCCCCTCCCACGTGCCCCAGCCTGTCTCAGTCTTTTTATAACCCCTGCCCTCCCAGCCAAGCCCATTTGCCCTGCCCTGTGTTAGGAAAACAGAGCTTTGTTTTCTTTTCCCAAATATAGGGAAGCATTGAATGTGTGTTTTCCAGGATACACACTCCTGTCCTTTCACAAGGAAAACATGTAGTGAGATGCACACGCCGTGACTCCCACACGTGCATCCTAAGTGCACGTGTACACACACAGGACACGACCCACACACCCTGAAGCAGGCACTCACTGAGGCAGCAGTATGTGCACACACACATTGGATCATGTACATGAACAGACCTGCACACACACAGACACAGGCTCACACCAAGGCACAGGGACACAAAAACACACAGGGACATGCACACACATGTTGGATCGTGTGTACACAGACCCACATACACTGATAAAGGCTCACACTGAGGCACAGGGACACATAAACACACAGGGACATGCACAGACATGCTGGATCATGTGTTCACACACAGACCCCTACACACACTGATGGAGGCTCACACTGAGGCACACGGACACGCAGACACACAGGGACGTAGACACACATGCTGGATTATGTGTCCACACACAGACCTGAACACAGACATAGGGTTACACCGAGGCGCAGGGACACACAGGGACGTATACACACTGGGTCATGTGTACACAGACCTGTATACATACTGACACAGGCTCAGGGACACACACAGGGTCATACACACACATGTTGCATCATATGTACATGCACAGACACACACACTGATGCAGGCTTGCACCAAGGCAGGCTCTCCCAGGACATCCACATGGGGGACTGTAGGGACACACACACACACCCCCCCCTGTTGAGGCATACATGCCAAGACTCATACCTGGAGATGTAGATACCCTAATGTGTGCACACGTGAACACATGGCGGGATATGTGTGTACACACAGCAGGACACTCACATAATGGGACGTGTGAAGACAGCCACCCACACCTGGACACATGCATGGGCACACCATGACACGCTGGGCTGGGTGTGGGCACACACAGTACCCACACACACCTGGACATGTGGGCGTGTGCACACACCCACTGGGACACACATGAGACGCCCATGTGGGGACTTGTGTGCACAGGTCTCCACCAGGAAACACATGCGTTCTAGGGTTCTTGAGTGCACGGAGACACCTGCACACCCGCGTGGGAACTTACAAGCACTGGGATTCCACAGCACACGCCAACATGCACACACACAGATGCTCATGTTCTCACACTCACACGGTGTGTTCATGTTCTAGCACAGCCACGCAGACCCCGTGAAGATTGACGAAGCCAAGGAAAGAACAGAGCTGGGCAGGCCGGGCGTGGTGGGCGTGGTGGCTCACACTTGAAATTCTAGCACTTTGGGAGGCGGGCAGATCACCTGAGGTCAGGAGTTCGAGACCAGCCTGGCCAACATGGTGAAAGCCTGTTTCCACTAAAGATAGAAAAATTAGCTGGGCGTGGTGGTAGGCGCCTGTAATCCCAGCTACTCAGGAGGCTGAGGCAGGAGCATCGCTTGAACCCAGGAGATAGAGGTTGCAGTGAGCTGAGATCTTGCCACCGTATTCCAGCCTGGGTGACAAAAGCAAGACTCCACCTTGAAAAAAAAAAAAAAAAAAAAAGCAGGGGACAGAGCTGGATGGGGATTTTATTTCCCCACAGCTGCCAAGCATTCTCTGTTCTAGGGTAGCATGGGTCTAGCACGGAGGCCACTT